CTTCCCAGTGGGATGGGGGAAAGCATCAGGAAAAAAGGTAAAACTTGTAGATTCAGATAAAGATAGCTTAAGAGGGCAGAAAAGGAAGAGGAAAATAATGATAAAAGAGTATATAAATCAAGTGATGAACAATGCAGCTGCTCCTCATCTACTGCCCAATGGCCAAGGAGTACCTGAGCAGTGGACTGGCAACCCAGCAGCCAACTCCCTCTAGTTTTGTTTTTCAGCATGACACCATATGGTATGGAATATCCCTTGGGCCAGTTGTCCTGGTTATGTCCCCTGCCAAATTCTTGTGCATCCTGAGCCTCCTGGCTGGCTGGGCAGCATGAGAAGCTGAAAAGTCATTGACTTAGACACTAAGCACTGCTCAGCAAAAATTAACACATCAGGGTGTTACCAATATAATCCTAAATCCAAAATGCAGCACTAAACCAGCTCCTGGGGAGGAAAATTAACTCTATCCCAGCTGAAAGCAGGACACAATCATTGCTAAGTGTTTTAGTTAATCTAATGCTAGCAGGGTGAGTGCAGCATGGCCGTGAAGCCCTGGGCTCTGTGCTTTGTTGTTGGTGTGACAATGTGAGGAAGATGTAAAATGAAGGACAAACTGGCAGCTTCAGAAGAGCTGATTTGCTTTGCCTCATACTGCTTGGAGAGCAAGTCCTGGGTCTGAGGATTGTTAGCATTAGTAGTAATCAGAATTTTATACACTTTAGCATACATTCCTAAGTAGAATGCTTCTGCTTTTTTTATTCCCACTGTATTTGTGATCTTTCCGCTTGTGTTCACAGATTTTACACAGAGCACACAATTTGCCTTATGTCAGGAATCTGGGAAGGCAAAATTAATGTTCAGCTCAGACAATGTTTCATTTTGCTCTGTTTTGGACCTGTAATAGTGCTCTGCTTTCTACTGAAGCACAGGCTTCAGTAGAAAGGACACCTTTTCTGCTCTGGGAAGAAGGAGTGAAGGCTCTTGGTTAAAGCAGTTTCCTGAATTTTTCCCTGGATAACCTCAATCTCACTGTGGAATTCCGTGTTCTGAAAATGGCTCTTATCTGTGTGCTTATTCTGTTCCTTATCTGCCAGCCAATTCCTTCTGTCCTTTCCAGGGAAGGGAAGCAGGACTGCTAATGGAGCAGTCACAGATTGTTACAGGTGCTTTAAAGATGAGAAGAGATTGCCTTTTTTTAAAATTTTTTTTACAGCCAAGCATTCCACCCCAAACTGTGCAGCAACATTTAAAACATTTACTTTCCTAATTGCTCATTATGTGTCAAGCTTGGCCACGTTTTCAATGCTTGGTTTTACCAAAACCTTCATATAGCTAAGAAAAGTATGAGGTGTGTCCCACATGGCTCATGGAGTAAGAAATCACCCCGTGGTTGGTCTCAAATGTCACCTTCTACAGGTAATTCCATGGTTTGCCAAGCTTTCATGTTTCTTGTGCTAGGTAGCTGGAGGCATTTTGGCCACTTGCATCAGTGGATCTCCATAGCACTGCATCTCTTGAGTTTTTTATCTATCATATCAGGTGTTGGCAGACACCAACACGATAACTGAGTGAGTTTGGACTCATCAGAGAAAAACAGGAGACTGGGGATCAAACCTGCATGGATGACCACACTGCTGCAGAGCATTTCAAATATGTTGCTCCTGTTGTTTTAAGCAACTTGAGAACAAACTTTAGGCTTTCTTCTAGTCAACGACTTCTAGAAAAATAAAAAATACTCAAAACACAGATTTCTGTTGTATTTAAAAGAAAGAAAGCAGGAAAAAAACCAAAGCTTGACAGTGCATGGGCAGATCACAGGGCATTAATTTCCTTAAAGCAAAGGTGGAGTGATACCCACACAGAAGCCTGGGGAATATTTATAAGCTGACCTGACTGGCTGCATGAATTTAAGGCACACACAAACCAGTAGAAGCAGATTGAGATATTTCACTGCAATGCCTTTGCCCCTCGAAGTACGTGTGGAAGTCTGCAGCATTCAGAGATGGATTTGTGTGCGTGCATTCAGATAGGACAAATCCCACTTGCCTGGCATTACACAAAGCTATAGTGGAGGATTCCTGTTGTCAGTCTCACTAGGAACAGTCTTGCCTCCTTGGCTTTGGAAAAGGTTCTGGGAACCAACAGAACAGGAAGCAATGAAAGAGGGAACATATTTGCCTAGTTTCAAGGCAGAGACAAATTCCAGGGGCAAGTCAGGCTTGGTCAAACATCTGCCACATATCCACAGGCTCCATGGTGCATTTCTGAAAATTGTGGCCATCATGAGAGCATCTAGGCACTGCAGCAGTCTTCCCAGTGGGCTGGGGTACAGATTTCCTGGCAGAGTGATGAACCAGCGTGGCCTCAAGCAACCGTGAGGGTAAAGCTTTTTCTGGGAACAGAGAGGAAAGAAAATCCAGTTGATTGTCCCTGCCTCGTTGCTGGCCTGGGTGGCCTGATGGCTTGGCTTCACTGAGCCGATGTGCCCGGGCACAGCAGCTCTTGCCTGAGAGAGGAACTGGGAGCTGAGGCAAAGGTGAGGCTCTCTGGGGCTTGCAGTTTATTTCTTTAAAAAGTGTGTGTGTTATTAGTGGAGCGTTACTGATAACCTCTTCCCAGGAGGTTCTATGTTCCCTGCTGAACATGACAGCACCCTCCCAAGCTGCCGAGCACCCTGAGAGCAGAGCTGCTTCCTCCGTCCTGCGCCGGAGCGGGAACGCCGCAGCGTCTCCCACATTTAGCAGAGACACTCCGTCTGTCGTCATTCCCATCCGGCACCTGCCACCCTTAACCCAGATGGCCTCCCTGACGCCGCCGACTCGCCATGTTTGTTACGGGCAGGTCGCTCCGCCTCCTTCCTTGCGGCAGCGTAGGGTGCCCTTAGCCAAGATGTCGGCGGAGCCTCGGGGGGGAGGGTGGGGTGTGCTGCCTCCGCCATCTTGGCTGCGGGCAGCGCGTACTGCTGAGGTGGCCTTGCCG